GCCAATCATCGATGTTGTATCCATACCTTTCACTTTTTGATAATATAATAATGCCTTATGTTTGTCTTCCAAAATGCATTTGGTTGGCTGATTAACCATATTGAGTAGGTGCAATAATTCCTTTTTCATTGCGATTACACACAGAATCTATATCATAACTATGCTGAAACTAAATATAGTAGTTCTGAGCTTAGTAATATTTTTGTCTTTTCTTAGTTTCTGATGACCGGTAAGTGACTGATGTTGGTCTTGTTTAGCACCAATTTTTAGTAGATAGTTTTTCTCTATAGGTATAAGCTTCGGAGAGGCAGCTGAATATTTGCTATTTTTTTCAGTATCATCAGCGTATTCAATCTTTTCATCAGCTTCTTTATAGTTATCAGGTTCGTCGCTTTTATCTAAACTCTCCATGACTTTCAATTCGGCTTTAGTAAGTTCTTTATGGTCATTCGAACCCAACCATTCTTCTGGAATCTTGTCGTTACAAGGGTACCAGGTCTCATTGTTATCATCATCATTAACGTTGTTGTCAGACTTAACATCTTTGAGATCATTCGGGTATATTTCATTTCTACCTTTTTTTCTTATTCCGCTTCCGCTTTCATGACAACATCCAACATTAAATGTTTCAACAGGGTTACCCAGGCCAACGGGCTTTTTCTGAAATGCGGGTGCCTCATGCCAGTCCTTCTTGACTTCAATTCTCTTATGCTCATCTTCTTTGACTTCGACTTTCTCATTGTAACAGATACCAAGGGTATAAGGTTTGTCAGTTTGTTTAACCTCAGAAACTTCTTGATAATAAACGGATGTTTTATGATCGTTTGTTTCAATTTTAACTCTGTTTCGGTTATAGTGTCCAAGATTATTGTTGGTAGGTTGATGATTGATAGGTCCTTCTATTTTTGATGGTTTTTGATAATAACTAGATTCCTTATGCTTATTTCTTTTAGCTTCAGCTTCCCAGGGAGTATTCTTTATAACTAGGTCCTTATTGCTATATTTTCTTGATTCATTCTTCTTTTGGTTTCGAACAGGAACTAGTAAATCATAGTTAACGGCAATTTCGTGATCAGTTGACAAGTGATTTTTCTTTTCTTGATTCTTGATCTTGATTATCTTTTCTTCTGTTTCTTTCACACTATATACTTCCCGATTGTCAGCATTAAAAAGTTCCTTTTTGTGTTGAGGCTTTGATGTTTGAGCTTTAAAGACAGCTATCTTTCGCCATGAACTTTTATATAATGGTAGGTGTACAATTTCTTCGGCATCACTTTCATTCCTTATCATACTTTCTATTAATTTTAATGTAAGGTTCAGGGCTTCTGGGATCTGCTCGGCATCTATGGTATCACTAAAATTTTCATTTATCATTTCTTGGACTACTTCAATCTGTTCCGAAGTCAGTGTTCTAAGAATCATTGTACACCTTTCATCTAATTTCCTTATGGCAGGGCATGTAGACACAGTGTGTCCTTTTATGTTACAATAGAAACACCACGGTTTTTTTTAAATGACTTCTTGAGGCGTTTTACAATTCCGAGGCTTCCCTTGAACTTTCGATGGTCAAGTTTCTTTTGGTCGGCATATATTTTTCTTCGGATTTTGATATGAGAATACTTGATAGTGGAAATCCATCTTTATTCAGTGATAGTGTTTCTAGATGTTAGGTCTCACAGTTTCAGATAATTAAGAGTAATAGGCTTGGGTGGTTTGAGAAGTTCTATCTCACAGTTTCGGGTGTTTGAAAGTAATTGGTTTGGGTGATTGAGAAGTACAATCTCACAGTCACCACCAAGTGTAAAGGTGGGAAATAATAGGTGACGAATATCTATCTATAAATAACCTATCTAACCAATAAACTAACAATAAATAGGATCGAAGCCGTGGCTCTAAATGTGGAAGGCGACGATTGAGGCGTGGAAAAACTTGGTCCGAGTAATTTAGAGCTTGGGCCCGATGGAGGCTACTTTTAGGTCGAGTAAGGTCTTCTTTTATTTCTTTGAGTCTATTAATTATATTTTTCAATGCTAATAGCTTTACTTTATTCTTTTTATCGGGTATATTTCTTCTTTCGGGGTCATGTGTCACACAATTTTGGTAATTTCGATTAATAACCGTAATCGGTAAATAATGGTGATTTGTAATAATGATGAATTTTCGATCAGAGTTTATTTTATTGAGGTATAAAAGGGATCTTGATTACTAATTTGATAGTTTCTTTCTCTTCACTCTTACAACACAAAAATAACAATCTTTACGAGTATCACGGTGACAAGAATTTACGAAAAACTAATTTTTAACAAGATTTTTTTTGAGACAAGTGGAAAACTTTATTAGAGAACCAACTTCTACTATAAGGACTTTCGAAGTTAAGAACTCAACTGAGTTTTTCTCTCCCTTTTTTACGGCGAAAAGATAGGTCTTAAATATTTTTGACCTTTACTGCATACATAATGGCTGTGGTTTTACCAATTTATACTATCTTACTATAATTTTCTAGTTTATACAGATTCAAAGAAAACGCAATACAAAAACGGCTATAAACTAGTATTGGCTTAGATGGGTACAAATTGTCTCTAGATACAAATTGTCTCTAGATACAAATTGTCTCTAGATACAAATTGTCTCTAGATACAATTTGTCTCTAGATACAATTTGTATCTCTCTATGAAAATCTAATTTTAACTGATCTTTTCCGGCCCACCTTGATCTACTACGCCAAAAAATAAAACAGGCCACAATTTACCCTTTCACAACGTCCAATAATGAGTTATTGATGATGTAAGAGAGAATAAAAATGTTGTTGAAGTTGGAACCGCAAAGAATTAGATAATCGTATAAATGATCAATGAAGGAAGGCATTCGATAGAAAGGTCCATATAAAGTTGGAAAAAGATTAAAAATTATCATGAATAGTCCGATCGGATCTTATATTTCAAGAATTGTATATGAGCCTATATATTCACGTGATCGAACTATCACGAGTCTCTCTTGATCCTAAATCCGATAATCTTGATTGATTCTTCAGTCCAGATAAATTCAAATATCAATATCAGAGATTTTTATTCGGGTTGATCAAAGAACTTAAATAATGGACCTAAGGATGTGCTCAAAGCCAGCTTTATATATAGTCTAATGCGGATTCAATCCGAATTTGGTAGAATGCAGATGAGCCTGTCAAAAATAGGATCGAAGCACTACTTTAATAACATGAGACGATAGAAAAGTGTTAGGTCGGTTGTAACCGATACGTATTCAATACAAGTCATAAGTATAATATAATCCAATTCGTCATATTATCCTCTCATTCATATTACCGTCCAACTATGGGAGCCCTAATTTCCCCCCCAAGTTCTGATTGGATGCATGAAATGCCATCTCCAATTGGATAAAATAGGTCACGCCACCCTTAGCGCTGCCACAAGTTCCAAAAAAAAAAAAACTTCAATTAAAACTTGTCAGTATAAGTATCTTATTGTTACAAAAAGAAAATTTCACAGAATTAAAATGTAATTTTTAAATAAATAGAAAATGTGCTTAAATATTTATCATTATGTGCGTACTAGTTCAAGTAAAAAAATCTTTTTATTCGATATTTCAAACGTTACAAGATAATTTTTTAAAAAAAACTAAATAAAAATGTGCTTCATTATGTGAGTACTAGTTCAAGTAAAAAAATTTTTTTATTTGATATTTCAAACGTTACAAGATAATGTTTTTAAAAAAAAAAACAATAAATAAAAATGTGCTTAAATATTTATTGTTATGTGCTACTGATTGCTTAAGTAAAATTTTTTATTTGTAATTCGATACTTCATTGAGCATACAAATTTTCCATTAATGAAATTTTGAAGTACAGTCAGATGCAATCAACTTTAAAGACTTACTGTAATGAACATCAGTTCTATATAAAAAGGTTGACTGTATTATAACTTTTTTGCTCTAGTTTAGCTGCAAGGTTTGTATTATAATTATATTGTATTAATCTATACGTGTGTACTAACTTGGAAGTAAAAAATATATTATCGTTATGTGAATGAATTAGTATATACGCCTGGGTTAATACAATACAATTATAATACGAAACTTGCGACTATGAAAATAATAGTAAAGTCTTTGTCTCGAATAAATATAAACAGTTAAAATCTTTCAAATCTATCTCATATACTTATTTTGATTGTGAATTAATTTTGCTGAATTTTTTAAGCAAATAACTTCAAATAAATTATTAAATTTCACTTCGCTAGTTCTGAT